GAAGACTTGAGGCTGAATCTTACATTTTTTTGGCTAAGTGTTATTTCCATAGAGTTTTTATGAGTGATTTTCATCTCAAGAGTTAGTGCGATCCCTTGCCATGTCCGACCAAAGCTGCTTCATTAATTACCTATCCCACTCCATAGTGACCCTCTCCTCTGTTTCTAACCTCACTTTACAAGCACTGTGCCTGGAATAATCACCAATCAATGGATATCCGTTGAAAGACTAGAGTTCCGAGTTGCTTCACCATAAGATACAGGAGCAGAATTAGGCCATGCAGCCCATCACGTTTTCTCTGCCATTCGATCATGGCCGATATGTTTTTTGACCCCATTCTCCTGCCTTTCCCCCATAACCCTTGGTCCCCTTACTCATCAAAAACTTACCTATCTCTGTCTTAAATACAGTCAATGACTTGGCCCCCACGGCCCTCTGATTTCCACAGATTCGCCACCCTGTGGCTGAAGAAATTCTTCCTCATTCCAGATAAAAAGCTTTGCCCCCATTGTTAAAAGTCCGCTGTGTGCCCAGATGAGCACTGGCATTCCAAAGCTGCCCTGCTCGATAATGGGCATTCAGTCAGATGTGAGCAAAACAAAAGATGGCGTGGTGATTCTCAGATGAGAAGCTGGGGAGGTGGGGCGGTGTTTCCTGGCAGAGGGAGTGAACGAGCGAGCACAAGACAGTGCATGAACAGCCCTGAGATACAGCCTGGTGCAGTCAGTGTGCTGGCCACCTGTCCCTGGGAACAAACCATCCCTCAATGCTAGACATTGGTATGCCCTGCAATGCAGGTCTGTGTTTTCTCAGTGTCCATAAGAGCATCACGGAGGATCCTGAGAGATTGGCAAACCTCAGATGCCAACATCTATGGAGGAGGGTGCATGCAGCTGATGCCAATGAATCATGCCTTAAGATGAGGGTGCTGGGGGTAGGTACTCTCACAATATTTAAGCAGCATCTGGATGAGTACCTAAAACACCAGGGTGTGGTATGGTATGGAGAGACTGAAGGTAGAAAGGCCTGTTCCTATGCTGAATGACTCTATGACTCTTTGCTACATGGTGTTGAGCAACATGGAGGCTCCTCACAGCCAGCAGTGAGTTAAAGGAACCTGCTCTGATTTCCATGTCGAGGATTCTTGAAGTCTACTTTGTTCAGAATGTTTAGTAAGGCAGGAAGCTGCTTAGTAATGAGGTGAAATGTGGTGCTAACATGCAATAAACCACTGCCACAGAAAATGATTGAGGCCAAAACATTGAATGTCTTCAAGAAGGAGTTAGATATAGTTCACGGGGCTTAAGAGATCGTGGAGAAAGCTAGAATAGGATACTAAGTTGGACGATCAACCACTGAATGATGCAGCAGGCTTGAAGGGCTGAATGGCCTACTCCTGCTCCTATTTTCTGTGTTCAAAAAGGGAAGGTAAAGTTGCCACAGTCCTTTCTGGCCACAGGGTTGCTGTCTCATGAGAGAGAAATGACTGGTGGTGGTTTATCCCGAAGATCACCAGGCTTCAGGTGAGGGGAGAAGTTGAGAAGGACAGTCCATCAATGATAACCTCAAATTTGCAGGAATTGAACCCATGCTGCATCACAAACCAGCTATCCATCCAACTGAGCTAACCAGCCCCGAGGACAACTTGGCATTGCCGAGCATCGAGATAGGCCTCTCTAGACTTCTCACACAATTCTACCTCATATCTCACAACAGCTCATGTCATCCAGGCCCCTATTAGATGTGTGCGTCTCCCCCAGCTTGTGATCAATAACTTAGAGACTAATAGCTAGGAGGAGGATGGGTAACAGGGAATCAACCCAAGGGCTTCTCAAATGGTTCCACTGAGCTTGTCTACAAGAGACAATATCTACTAGCTTCAGGAATGAGGAAATGGAGTTACATGGACAGACCAGGGGCAAATGAGGTGGAGAAGGGAAGGCTAAGAGGTGGTTGGATAGAACTCTTTAAAAAAGAAAACCCATTTTCAATGGATGAAGGATCGACAAACAGAAGGCCCAGATTTACGGTGATTAGCAGAAAGAGGATTTATGATTTATTTCCTGCAGCAACATGAAAGTATTTATATAACAGACAGTTAAGATTTAAAATGTGCTCCATGATAGGGGTCTTTTTATATATTGACTCATGGGATATAGGGCATCACTATCTAGGTCAGTATTTATTGCCCAACCCCAACAGCCCTTGAGATGGTATTTCTGAGCCGCTTTCCTGAACCACTGAGGTCCAGGAAATATGTTTAGCACAGATGCAATTGCAGCTTTTGAATGGGAATCAATACTTGATGGGCCAAATAGCCTCCTGTGCTATACTATTCCATGAGCTGAACTGCCCCAGCCCTGAACAATGTGGGCAATGGTGAATCCATTGGGAAATATACCACACGGTAGGAGACGTGAGGTACTCAAATGTTTGAGTAGCGAGATGAAAATCTTTAGTGAGCAGTGAGAGATCTATTTCTGTGCGTTAGCGTTTTGTTATTACTTATTCTCACCCCATTCATACGCAGTCTGCTATTCTCCCACACAGTAAAGAGAAACTAGATGGCGACAAATTTCCAACACAAAGATCAAAGCAAGTAATAGAATCACAGAATGGCTACAGCATAGAAGCAGGCCGTTTGGCTCACTGAGTCCACACCAATTCCTCCAAAGAGCATCCTAACCCCTTACCCTATCCCTGTAACCTCACATTTCCCATGGCCAATCCTTCTAACCTGCACATCCTTGGGCTGTGGGAGGAAACCCACACACACACGGGGAGAACATACAAATTCCAGACAGACAAGGGTGCCTCCAGATTACCACATGCTTCTTTGGGTCTCCATCCTGATCGGCGAACCAACCCCAACACCTCTAAGCACGCTCTGTGAACTGCCTACATCCTTTGTCTATGGAGGGTGGCATCAAATGTGCACCAGTCTCACCACATTGTCCTGGCACATTTCTGACCCACTTACAGCATTTCAATACTGCACTGTGACCACTCTACCTAGCACCTCGCATTGTAGTGCAGCTGCCAGGCTGTTTTAGGGAAGGACATCTCATGGATTGGAGCAGGGTGCATCTCAGGACACTTAGCTTGTCCTCTTATTCTGCACCTACTTGGATTCTCAAAGCTTTCTGCCTCTCCTTGCCTCTATACACATTGCTGCAATATTCAGAACTTAGAGGCTCATAGTACTTGTGCGTGGGTCAAGAGACAAGGCAGGAGGTTGCCAGCAGTGATCAGTCAAGAGGGTGGACATATTGTTATTCGTCATGGTGCTACATCAATCTCACTCCCACAGCAGCTTTGTGCCAAACACAGTGCTTGTGATATGCAGCGAGCAAATAGCCGTGCCTCAAAGTCTAAACGGTCAGGCTGCTAGTCAGAGGGAACCAGCACAATCTGTCAAAGGCATCACCGATATCAGTCCGAGGGCTTGGGACGTCGTCAGACAGGCACTTGGCGTAGTCAGGATCAGGGGTTCCATAGCATTATGGGAAGCAGGCTATGGTCAGTGCAACTGGAAAGGGCAGGAATGGGAAGTCAGTCAGGGAGTTGCACAGAGATTCCTCAGGGATCTGATCCAAGTTAATCAAGGTGAGGGAGTCTACAGTCAGTCCTGAAAAATGACAAGGTGTTACACTAAGCTGGATGTGAGGGAAAGAGTTGCACTCCCTTAGATTCAAATGTGGAATGGCACAAAGGACGGGGGCGTTTGTAGTTTGATTTTTCTCACTGCATTTACTGTGACAGTTGATCATACAGGTGATCCCGTAAAGTGGCAGTGCATTTCTGAATGTGATTTACTATTTGCTAGCAGGTGCCACCTGTGTGACCTCAGAAACATTTTGCCGTTTCCCTCCCAAGAGATGAAGGGCTATCCATGACTGGCCATGACCTGGTGCCAGCGGTGGAAATCCCTACGTGTCATGGCAGCGGTGGGCACATACAGTCATAGAGTTGGACAGCACAGAAACAGAAGGGTCACCGGACCCAAAACATTAACTCTGATTCTTTTCTTCTCAGATGCTGCCAGACCTGCTGAGCTTTTCCAGCAACTTCTATTTTTGTTACAGAATCACACCCTTCGGTCCAACTCATCCATGCTGACCAGATATCCTAAATTAATCTAGTCCCATTTGCCAGCATTTGGCTCATATCCCTCTAAACCCTTTCTATTCATGTACCCATCTAGATGCCTTTTAAATGTAGTAATTGTGCCAGCCTTCACCACTTCCTCTGGCAGCTCATCCCATATATGCACCACCCTCTGTGTGAAAAAGATGCCCCTTAGATCCCTTTTAAATTTTTACCCTCTCACTTCAAACCTATGCCGTCTGGTTTGGGACTCCCCCAGCCTGAGGAAAACATCTTGGCTATTCATGCCCCTCATGATTTTATAAACTTCTACAAGGTCACCCCTCAGACTCCAATGCTCCAGGGAAAATAGCCCCAGCCTATTCAGCCTCTCTGTTTAACTCAAACATTTGCCACTGGTGAGGGTAAGATAGCGTGGGAGTTGCATCATACAGGCATGGTGCATACATAGTGAGGCAAGCAGCAGGGAATTATGCACGATAACTTAACTACAGCTCATGGTGAGAAACCCTACATGAAACTCTTCAGAATCGACACTTAGCCAATATTTGGTAATGTTCAGCCCCTGTGTTTCCTATCCACCTGTTAGGATGAGACAATCGATGAGAAAGATGGACAAAGATTCTGTGTGAAGTCAGAATCACAATATACTGTCATAATATAAGAACTGCGGATGCTGGAAATCTGAAGCAAACAGAAGTAGAAATTGCTGAAGGAACGCACAAAGTTTGCCAGCTTTGTGGAGAGAAAGATCCTTCTTCAGAACTGAACTATTCTGAAGGAGGGTCACTGGACTCGAAATATTAATTCTGATTCTCCTTCCATAAATGCTGCCAGACCTGCTGAGTTTCTCCAGAAATTTCTGATTTTATTTCTTTTACAGTATACTGTACCTGCAGAATATAGGCATTCTGGAGTCTCGACAGAATAAGATGAGGATTCCTTGTAGAGATAGTCCTCTATGCTGAACACCTGTACATTTGGACTGATGCTGTCTCCAACTGTGGTCTGATGTCTATCACGTGGTAGGACTGCATCATCACATTTGGTGTCTCCAGAGGTTTCAGGATTACACAGGCACATCTGCGGGCTTGTAACCATTTCACCTGTAAAATCTGCGCTAATGGCCAGGACTTGAACTCCATCGTGGATCACACATACATCATTGTCCTCTGCATCGCCACCAATAGTGTTGAGATTATCAGCACTAGCAGATAATTCATTCTGTTCTGGTGAACACTTCGTGTATTCTTTCAGCTTTTTCTCCCTGTGAACTGCAGCATCTGGCACCCAGTAATCCACTTCATTCCCTTCCTTCCTGCTGTCTTTGACCATCAGGAATGCTTCAGTAGAACAAGACACTGCCTTTTCGCCAAACATCAGCTGGGGGCAACTGCTAAAATACAGACTGCAACTTGTAATAAGATTTAACTTTTCTTTTTAAAAGATTATATTTCAATACCTTCCAAAGAAAAAGTAACTACTTTAAAACATTCACAAACTGAGATACCTGTACACCATCTCATCCATGCTTGTCTTCTCCCACCCCTTTTCATCTTATCCCATCAATATATCCTCGGTGTCCTTCTCCCTTGTGTGATTATCTTTTCTTGTGTCAATAAAGCTTTCTTTGACTTTCCCCCTCTACTTTTTTTTTCCTGGGATGTAGGTATCACTGAGAAAGTCAGCCTTTGCAGTCCAGCAGTAAGTAGCACTTGTACTGAGAGACTTGCACAGTCATTTCAGAGAGCATGTTGAGAGTCAGTTGTCGACTAGACTTGTTAAGGATGATAGATTTCCTTCCTTAAAAGGTCATTCATAAACCAAATATTTTATTTCAGCAACAATTGACGCTAAATATCCTGGTCACTATTGCTGAGACTAGCTTTCGATCTGCTGATTAATAAACCGTTTAACTTTCATTAACTGCCATGGCAGGATTTGAACCTACGTCAACGAAGCATTAGCTTGGGTCTCTGAGTTACAAGTTCAGTGAGACTGACCATAATACATAAGAACAGAAGTAGGCCATTCAGCCCATTGAGTCTGCTCCACCAATCATGGCTGATTTGATAATCCTCGACTCCAGTGAGCTGCTTTTCCCTACAATCCTGATTCCCTTACTGGTTAAAAATCTGTCTACCTGAATCTTGAATATATCTAACAACACAGCATCTACAGCCCTGTGCTGGAAAGAATTCCACAAGTTCACTAACTTCTCAGGCTACAAATTCCTTCAGAACTGAGGAAGGGTCACCGGACCCGAAACGTTAACTCTGTTTTTTACTTCACAGATTCTGCCAGACCTGCAGAGCTTTTCCTGCAACTTCTATTTTTGTTTATGGCTGATCTCTCATCTTGGCCTGAACTCCACTTTCCAGCCCACTCCCAATAACCCCTCAAACCCGTTACTAATATAAATCTCTCTCCTCCTTGCCACACTCAGTGTCTGCCACACTCTGGGAGACAATTCCACAGAAATATGATCATTTGAAAGAAGCAATTTGTCTGTTCCCCTGTTTTAAATCTGTCACCCCTTCGGCTAAAACTATGACCTCTTATTCTAGATTGCCCCATAATCATTCTTTGACCATCAGCAGGACGTGGCAGTGAGTTGTTACTCAATCAAGATTCCAAAATATAATTTTCTAAAACAATCACAGTTACGTTTGAACGGTATAATGCTAACTGCAAAAAAAAAACTCTCAGAGGTTTGTGAATCTGTGAAATTCTTTACTGCAGAGAACTATCAAGGCTAGGTCATTAAATATTTTCATGGTTGAGGCAGACAGATTTTTAATCAGGAAGGGAATCAAGGGTTATAGGGGTGAGGCAGGAAAGTGGGGTTGAGTATAATCAGATTAGGCACAATCTCATTGAATGGTGGAGCAGACTCAATGTGCTGAATGGCCTATTTCTACTCGTATGTGTTATGACTGGTTAGGTTCAGGTGCCATGGTGACTCAGTGGTTAGCATCGTTGCCTCACAGTGCCAGGGACCTGGGTTCGATTCCATCCTTGGGCAACTGTCTGTGGAGTTTGCACATTCTCCCTGTGTCTGCTCCAGTTTTCTCCCACAGTCCAAAGATGTGCGGGTTAGGTGGATTGACCATGGGAAATGCAGAGTTACAGGGACAGGGTGGGGGTGTGGGTCTGGGTCTCAGTGAGATGCTCTTTAAAGGGTTGGCATGGACTCGATGGGCCGAATGGCCCAATTCCACACTGGAGATTCAATGACTATATTCACCAGAGTTTAGAAGAGCAATGGATGTACACATAGAAACCTTTAGAATCCTAACAGGACTAAATGGAGTAAATCCAGAAAGGATGTTCCCCATGACTGGGGAGTCCAGGGCCAGGAACCTCAGACTGAGGCTGGGGGTAGGCCATCGAGGACTGAGCTGAGGAGAAGCTTCCTCACACAGAGAGATGTGAGCCTCTGCCATAGAAAGCAAGTGAAGCTAAAACAATGAATGTTTGAGATTGTAGATGTGCTCGCCAAACTGGTGGATTTGGATGCAGACGTTTTATCACCTTGCTGGGTAACATCGTCAGTGCACCTCCGGTGAAGCATCGGGTGTTCTGTCCCACTTGTTATTTATATAGCTCAGTTGGCTGGGGTGGTTGTTATTACTTCCAGTTCTGTTTTTCAATGGTTTGTATATTGGGTCCAGTTCAATGTGTTTGTTGATGGAGTTCCGGTTGGAATGCCAGGCCTCCAGGAATTCCCTGGCATGTCTCTGGGATTGGGATCCTTTACGTTTGTCAGTAGCTGTCGCAGGGTGTTTGTTGGTTTGTGGGGCTATCCTGATATCTAGGGGTCTGAAAAGTCTTGTGGTCATCTCTGATATGTCTCTGATGGACAGTAGGGTGACTAGTGAGTCTTGATATGTTGTGTCTTCTTGTTGTGGTCTGTCATGCAGGTAACAGCAAATTGCGCTTTTTGTGTATCCATTCCTTTTAAAACTCCGTAAAAGTGTTCCAGTTTTGCTTTGCGCAATTCCAGGTTGCTGCAGTGTGTTGTGGCTCGTTTGAATAACGTCCTGATGCAGCTCCGTTTATGGAAGTTGAGGTGGTTGCTGGAGTAATTAAGTATCTGGTCTGTATGTGTCACCCTACTGTACATCAGAGACCTATCGGAGATAAAAGACCCCATACTCACAACCAATAAAACTAATGTAATATACAAAATTCTATGCAAGGACTGTGAGAAACATTATATAGGCCAAACTGGAAGAAAACTGACAATAAGGATACACGAACACCAACTAGCCACCAAGAGACACGACCAATTCTCACTGGTCTCAATAAACATGGACAAAGAAGGACATGAATTTGACTGGGATAACACATCCACAACTGCACAAGCCAGAGACATGCCAGGGAATTCCTGGAGGCCTGGTATTCCAACTCCATCAACAAACACATTGAACTGGACCCGATATACAAACCACCGAAAAACAAAACTGGAAGTGATATCAACCACCCCAGCAAACTGAGGTGTATAAATAACAAGTGGGACAGAACACGAACGTTTCACCGGAGGCACACTGACAATGTTACTGAGCAGGGTGACGGAACGTTTACTGCTCGGCGAGCAAGTTTACAACCTCATCCCCAACCCGAGCTACAAATCTTCTCAAAAACTTTAAACACTGAATGTTTTCAAAACGGAATTGGAGATATAGTTCTTCGGCCTGAGAGATCAAAGGGTGTGGGGATAAAGCAGGAACAGGGTTGAATGGTCAGCCACGATTATATTGAATGGCGGAGCAGGCTCGAAGGGCTGAATGGCCTACTCCTACTCTCTACGTTTCTCTGATCTTATACATATCGACTGTTACCCATCCAGTGCAAACCAATAACTTAAAAGTTTCAAACAGTGAACAGAAAGTGAAACTAAAACCAGCCCAGTAGTAAACCTCCCGTCCCAAACAGTATTCCACACAGCCAGGAAGGAACATGAGACACGAAACGAATTGTAATGAAGAGAGATAACAAGGTGTAGAGCTGGATGAACACAGCAGGCCAAGCAGCATCTTGTTATCTCAGATTCTCCAGCATTTGCAGTTCCTACTATCTCTGAAACGAATTGTAATGAACTTGGGCCGATGCACTGTAAAGTGCGATTAGTCCCACAGCCGGGTAACATTGCAATGCGTTTTACACAGAAATTTAACTTTAGAAATGTTTTTCACAGATATCCAATTCCGAGTTTTAAAAAAACGGAGAAGATAAAGTAACCAAACGCTGATTCATGCACGACAAAGTTCAGCTTGTGGCGAAAACAATTACATTAATGAAACAGATGTTTAGGAAGAGAATTTTAAAACAAACTTGTGGCGCCGCAGTAGCGATTGCGATTGCATGCTTTAACAGAGGAGAACACCAGGAACCAGGCAACGCGCTTTCCCTCTAAACACAATTCCTGCAACTCCCTATTTGTGCCAGGAAATGGGCAGCAAACTACAAGGAGGTGACGTTTCCACAGAATACACCTGACCTCAACAAACTTGTGCTGTGGGTTTGTTAAGAAAAAATTCCCATATTTGCTCAGTGCCCTGTTTATTTTCCATGTGTTCTAACCCCATCCTCGAGCATCATAAATTGAAAGCATTTTTTAGAAAAACAAAAATCCAAACCCAATCCTTTTCCCTTCTATTATTACCAGACCGCAGGGCGACTCTCCCGTTAGAAGAAGATAACTCAAGGCAGTGAGGAGAGAAGCTGAGAATGAGAATTTTTCACAGTGGGAATTGAGGCCAGCTACATGGTAAACTGGTCTGTCCAGCCAACTGAGCTAACCATTTCTGAAGAAGGGTCTAGGCCCGAAACGTCAGCCTTCCTGCTCCTCTGATGCTGCTTGGCCTGCTGTGTTCATCCAGCTCTATACCTTGTTATCTCTGAGCTAACCAACTTTTTGCCTTTTCCTGTCTGTGCTGTTTCAGCATTCCCTTATTTAGGCAGGAAAATGGACTGAGATCCTAACTTCAATAAGGCAAATAAATTGGAGAAGTTGGGACTGTTTATGTTGAGAAGGTTGAGAGAAAGACTGGGCAAGGCAGTTGAGTGGTCCCTGTCCACACTATTTACTGAGATTAAAGCTTGTCATGATCAGACACAGCTTCTAGATCTTCCTTCTCCAGATTCTTTCACCTGCTATACTCTTGAACAGAGACTTAATCAAGGGACAACAAGGGCATGTAAAAAAAGGTAGTATTTCAATCACGGGTGATTCGAAATAAAAGCCGAAAGAACTGCAGATGCTGGAAATCAGAAATAAAAACAGAAATTGCTGGAAAAGCCAATAGGAGGGGAAGCATCTGTGGAGAGAAATCAGAACTGAGGAAGGGTCAATAGACCTGAAACATTAACTCTGATTCTTCTCCACAGATGCTGCCAGATCTGCTGAGATTTTCCAGCAATTTCTGTGATGGATGATTATAATCTCTATGTAAATTAAGAAAATCAAATTTGGTAGAGGTAGCCATGAAGAAGAATTCATGTCATATATTCAGGACAATTTCTGAGGACAATATGTTGTGGATCCAATAGAGCAAGAGCTTCTTTAAAATATATATCAAGAGAGAGGCCAAAGCGAACATCGGCCACTTAGAAAATGAGGCTGGGATTATAATAATGGGTAAGCAGGGAATGGCAAGGTATTTGAATAAATACTGCGCATGAATCTTCAAGGTAGAACATTCTAACAGCATTTCAACGATACTAAACAATCAAGGAGCATAAGAGGGTGAGGAAATCACTGCAATAAATATCACAATTTATAAAAAAGTTTCAGGGAAACTAGTGGGGCTAAAGGCTGCTAAGGTCCCCCAGACTGGGTGGGATGCATCCTAGGAGATTAAATGAAGTAACTAGACAGATATTGGATGCACTCAGAGTAATCTTTGAAGAATCATTAGATTCTGGAAAAGTCTTGGAGGGTTAGAAATTTGCCAATGTAACACCCTTAACCAAAAAGGGAGATAAGAAGCAGGGAACTAAAGGAAAATTACCTTAATAGGAGAAATGTTAGCATCTGTTATAAAGGATGTAATAACAAGAGTATTTAATAAAACATAATGTAATCCAGCAGTTAACATGGCTGAGAGGGAAATCATGGCTGAAAAATATTCAAGAATTCTTTGAGGAGGTAACAAGCAGGATAGATAAAGTGGTAAGGTAAAGTAATAAGGTAAATTTGAAAGGTAATGCACATAATAAGAATCCATGGTGTTGGGGGTAATATATTATCATAGAATCCCTACAGTGTGGAAACAGGCCCTTTGGCCCAACAAGTCCACACTGAACCTCAGATCATCCCACCCAGACCCATCCCCCTATAACCCATCTAATCTACACCTCCCTGAACACTAAGGGCAATTTAGCATGGCCAATCCACTTAACCTGCACATTTTTGGACTGTGGGAGGAAACCAGAGCACCCAGAGGAAACCCACGCAGAGAATGTGCAAACTCCTCACAGAAGGTCACCCGAGGACTAGAATTGAACCCAGGTCCCTAGCACTGTGAGGCAGCAGTGCTAACCACTGTGCCAAGTATGGTTAGAGGATTAGCTAACTAAAAGAAGACAGAAAGTTGGATTAAAAGTGGCATTTTCAGAATGACACCCTCAAGAGTGGAGTGCCACAGGGGCCACAGTTATTTACAATACAGGCAGTCTCCAGGTTGTGACCAGGTTCCAATCAGGAGTCTGTTTACAAGTCAATTAGTACACAAGTCGGAACACAATGCAGGGCAATGTAAATGAAGGGTAAATGTTGGGACTACAGCTATTCATGTTATACATGAATAATCTGGACGAAGGAACTGTGGCATTGTTGCTAAGTTTGAAGATGATGCACAGAGAGATGGTAATGTTGAAGAAATGGGGAGGCTGCAGGAGGACTTGGAGATGCTAGGAGTGTGGGCAAAGAAATGGCAAATGGAATACGAAGTGGCAAAGTGTGAGGTTATACATTTTGGTTGGAAGAATACAGGTGTAGATTATTTTCTAAACAGGGAAAGGCTTCAAAAATCTGGAGAGCAAAGGCACTTGGGTGTCCGAGTTCCAGATTGTCTAAAGGCTAACATGCAGGTTCAGTTGGCAGTTAGGAAGGCAAATGCGGTGATGACATTCCTTTCAAGAGGGCAAGAATACAAGAGCAGAAATGGACTGCTGAGGCTGTATAAGGCCCTGGTCAGACCACATTTGGAATATTGTGAACAGTTTTGGGTCCCATATCTAAGGAAGGATGTCCTGGCATTAGAGGGAATCCAGAAGAGGTTTTCAAGAATGATCCTGGAAGTAAAGGGCTTGTCATATAAGGAGCATTTGAGGACTCTGGATCTGTACTCAATGGAGTTTAGAAGGATAAGGGGGGATCTGATTGAAACTTACAGGATACTGAGACTCCTGGATAGAATGTATATCGAGAAGGTATTTCCATTCGTGGGAGAGACTAGGACCTGAGGGCACAGCCTCAGAGTAAAGGGACGACCCTTTGGAATTGAGATGAGGAGGAATTTCTTCAGCCAGAAAGTGGTGACTCTGTGGAACTCATTGCTGCAGAGGTCTGTGGAGGCCACATCTTTGACTGTACTAAAGACAGAGATAGATAAGCGCTCGTTGGTAAGAGGATCAAGGATGACAGAGAGAAGGCAAGAGAATGGGATGGAGAAACATGTCAGCCATGATCAAATGGCAGAGCAGACTCAATGGGCTGAATGGACTAATTATGTTCCTAAATCTTATGGTCTTATGTTCTTATAAGCAGCTGTTCTAGATTACAGGAAATGTTCATATATCAGGTCTTTAAAATTACATCCCTGTATGGAATCACATTTGAATGTTTGCAAATTGGAACCCCTGTACATCTTAATGACTTGGATGAGAAAAATGAATGTGCTATCGCCAAGTTTGCAGATGAGGATTAGCTAACTAATAGAAGACAGAGAGTTGGATTAAAAATGGCATTTAAGGAATGGCACCCTATAAAGAGTGGAGTGCCACAGGGGCCACGATTATTTACAATACATGCAGTCTCCAGGTTGTGACCAGGTTCCAGTCGGGAGTCAATTGGTGAGGATGAGGAGTCAAAAGGATATAAGCAAGTTGCATCAGTGTGCAAAGACTTGGCAGATGGAACATAATGTGGCAAAATGTGAGGTTATTGTGCTTTGGCAGGTAGAATACAGAGGCTGAATACTTTTTAAATGGAAAAAATCTGCTGAAAGCTGCAGCATAGACAGAATTGGGTGTCCCCTTATGTAAATTACAAAAAAAACTAGCAACTAAATTCAGCAGGTAATAGGAATGGCAAATGAAATGTTGCCCTTTATTTCAAAGGGAATGGAATATAAAAATAGGGAAGTCTTGATAAAATTATACAAAGTACTGGATAGACCATGCTTAGAATATTGTGAACTGTCATCGTCCCATTACCTAAGGAAATGCATATTGGCATTGGGAGCAGTCCAGACAGGGTTCACTAGAATGTTCCTGGGCATGGAAGGATTTTCTTATTAGGAGCAGTTAATCATAGAATCTCTACGGTGTGGAAGCAGGTCATTTGGCCCATTGAGTCCACACTGATCCTCCAAAGAGCATCCCACCCAGACTCACCCCCTAAGTGTAAAAATTTTAAAAGTGAAGGATTTGGAGATGGATTCTGGTTAAGCAAAGGGGTGAAAGTTTGTCAGGCGGGGTAGATGAGAATGTGTATTAGATCAGCTATAATCTCGTTGAATTGCAGTGTAGATTTAAGGGGCCCAGTGGGTCCTAATTTGTATTTGTTAATAAGACGTGGATTAGCTTTTCATCAGCAGATAATCTGGAGACATGACAGAGACGGAAGATTCTATGGAGGTGGAAATAGGCACATCACATGCACAATGACCAGGTTAAATCTTCATCTTTCACTTCAGTTCAAACCTTTGAGATTTCTGAGTATCTCACTCTCCTGTTAAAATTGTGCAAGTGACAGCACAAGTTATCATATTTAATCATCATTAGCTAACTCCACACTTTAGATGATTTCCATTTATTTATTGCATGTGAGAATACCCTTCTGTCTTCAGCACATTACAGAACAAAGATCAGGATATAAATAATCATTTTATTAGTAATATATGTGACAGAAACCTTTTACAGAAAGTAATGTCCAGTAGAACAAGAGTCACTTTATAAACATTCATTAGCAACTTGGGAGATGATTTGCATAAACATTATTGATCTGTCGACCATGTGTTGAACTTTAGTTCTGTTTAAAAATCAGTCTGACAGTTAAATCTTTAGCACGTACAATGTAAACAGAACTAGCCATGGAAAGAAATCAAGTTTGGTAAATTCACCAAGATAATCTATCCTTTAAAGCATTTTCAAATACTATGCACTGACCTCTAATCTCTTCAAGTATAGATTTTTACTCAACCTTTCTCACTCTAGAAAGCACTGACTCTT